ACTGACCACATCTTTGTTGAATCATACACCATTTTTTGTGCACTGCAAGACACAGAAGATGCTTTAAAGGATCTCTGTTTCACAGAAACGGAAAGCAGGAGACCATAAGGAAGAAGACAGTTGCTCAAATCATTAAGTTGCCAGTGGCAAGCCATGAATGCAAAGTTTCCAAAATTCCACTCCCCTGTTCAAAGCAGGGCCAAAATGAGATCTTAAATGATTTTGCAACCAATTTCCATGTCATGAATGCTAATGCTGGAAGCTGAAAGCCCTGTCTCTCATCGCTCCGCTCCCAATGAGGGACTGTCTCCAAGAAAATGCTGAGTTGCTATCTTGAATGTATTATTTTCAACCACCTTAACTATATTACTATAAAAAGCTGCATGGACTCCCTTGTTGCAGCTCCCACTAGGTTTACTTTGGTTTTATTTAAGCTCTTTTTCTTAGGGATGCATTTAAGTTAGACTGAGTAAGCTGCTTTCATACCACAAAACAGAGTCCGTAAAGGGATTTATAAAAGTTTACTTACACAGTGTAGCTCACGCCTTTAAATAAACTTTCTCATGTGGACAATATCAAACTGTTATTTGTCTCCAAATTCCCCAAACAAATTTTAAAGCAAGGTGAATCTTTCCTCTTCAGCAGAGAGCCTCTATTGAATCAGTGATGCTACTCCTAGGCAATACCCTTTTTATTCCTTGTATCAACTTCAGTGATCCCCAGGGAAACTTAGCAGTTCCTACCAAACTACAAGGGCACATGGATGGAATTTGAGAAGTATTTCTACAGAAGTCACCCAGACAGAAAAGATTTGAGAGACAGCACATCTCATGATGGCCCTGCAAAGCCAGCAGAGCAGCACCCACCAAGAATGAAGAACACATTGTGCATAACAAGCGCACCCAAGTGTAACTTAGCAGGAGAGATTCTTTCACATAAAGTCATCTTTGAAAACAGATGTGCATTTCACACTTCCAACCGGTTTTGATGAAGTCTAGTTTTAGAATTAAAAAAAAATAAAATAGGCCAGAGAAGGCACTGAAGGGTTTATCAAGTTTCTAACAAATGAAAGAGCTATATGATCTAACTAACGAAATCCTATAATCCACTGGAAGGTGAAATGTTCCAAATTAGTTCAGTGTCACCAGCTCTTCTGGACACATTAGCTAAGCAAGCACTGGAGTTGCAATGCCTAGTTCCAGTTCTGACTTTGCTTTCAAGAAAAAAAAAAAGAAAAAAAAAAAATCAAATGCCATACATCACAGGGGACAAAACTAAGAGACAAAACAGCGCGGTGATGTTAAACTGCCTGTATGCTCACTGGACCCCATTCACAATTTCAAAAGTATCTGGATGCATTTGGCAAAAAGCAATTGACATTCATGTTTTCCTCCATAGACCCAATTAGATCTGATGTACATCCATTCACACTCAAACAGGCACAGAAACCTTCAAGGTTATTTTCCAATTACTTCCACATATACTGCCTCATTCTGAAAGGACTGGGGATCTGAACGTCCAAAAGATGCTACGGATTCTGCTGATGCATCAGCTCTCAACACCTGAACTCTTAAATAGAAAAGACATTATTTAAAACCCATGGCCTTCAACACAAGAATTCTAATCTCAGTCCTTCAATCCCATTTTTATTTGTGATTGACAAATTTTTTTAATGAGACAAATGGCATAAGCACTGTTTTAATATTGTGAGGTTGTTTTAAATGTCAAAAAGAGAGTACTTTTCATATCTGTATCATTAATTTAATAACGCTTATTCATCTGAAAAGTGAAAAAGTTGCTAAAGAATGGTATAGCAAATTTTTACGCATGGAAGACAATCAGATAATACAGCTTCCCCAAAGAGGTTAAGATAGATTAATGTTAACATAAAGGTCACTTGAAAAGACTTCTCATTTAGCACTATACCATACCAAAACCAAGAATCATCCCTGTTTGCTTTTCTCATAAAAGCAGAACTTTTTAGCTTTATTGAAACAATTTTATGAAATGCCATCAGCCCATCCATGGCCAGCTTTGTTTCCACAATGGCCATTTTACTTCTGAAAAGAGACTGAATTCTTAAATTAGCCCCTAAACACTGTAAAATTCTGACTCCTGTCTCCTAAAAAAAAAAAAAAAAAAAAAACAAAAACAACAAAACAAAACACTTTTTTCCTGTTATTTTGTTGCAGAATTTGTAATTTGCTGTTCCATGAACTATAAACAGCAGACAAAACAATGTGATTGACAGGTTGTCTCAGAATCACAAACCAACAACAATAAAAAAGACAACTTCTGGTAGACCTGTACTTTTCCCTATACTACATCTATTCAACTACATGTGCTTTGCTTCTGATGATGGTATTTAGACTGCCAGATGCACAGGCTACAACCTAAGAATCATCAACATCATCCTTGCTAAAAGCATTCAGGGACTGTCCTTCAGGTTCTCACAAAGACGACTTACCTTGGAATCTGTAATTAATACATACATTTTAAAAAAAAACACCACCCCATATCAATACCATTATTACTAGATAAACTTTAGAGCTCTCCAGTAGCATATTTCAAGAAATACCATTGTCTCTACTTTACAGATGGGGAACAGAAGAACAGCAAGGTTAAAACCACCCATATTACACTGCATAGGACTCAGGAAAGTGATTCAAGTATCTTCAGTTTCATGAGAACTGGAAATGAATAAACAGAAAAAATGCTATTGTTTCTGTGTCACTGAACACAAGGGCCCTTCTTAGAGTAGAATAACCAACAACATTAATGTTTAAGGCCAAAAATAAATTTAGTGGCTATGAAGAACAAAAATACAACTTTGTATGGAACAGCTAAAAAACACTGAACTTCAGTGAACAGCCAGAATGCCAGAAAAAAACCCTCCCTAATATTTAAAACACTGCAGAAAAATAGGACAACAAAAACTACAATGAGTATCAAAGCTCACAGATCACGGGAACAGAACTGGTGTGTTTTCTAAATAATGTGTTTATCTACCTTTGAATTACCATATAAAGGTATGGATCTGCAAAATACCTGTTTGGCAAATATGCTTTTTTTTTTGCTACTGGTTCTTTTGGCTGTCAGTGCTATAAAATACCCCTCTGTAAGGCCCTGAATACTTCCATATCAAGCAGGATGCCATAGAAGTGCTAGGTCTAGCCAGGGGAATTCTCTGTACAAGATGAAGCTATTCCTGCCTCAAACACTCCTGAGCATTTTGTCATCTACCTCCTCTATCACAAATACTCTGCGAGGACTTGAGGATGCTTAAATAAGACAGCAATCATCCATTCAGTGTTCAGCCTTTAACTAATAATTAAGCTTCAGAATTATAAAGCTGCATATAAATCCCTTCCTGATTTAGACCTGTGCATATTTTATCCAGAGAAACTTACTGTGTCTGCAAGATAACTAGGGTAAGTTAGAGGGGCACTGTTCCCCATTGTCTTATTCTGGAACTCCAACACCATTTTAGGATTTGGTGCCTACATGAGCACATTTCAGACCTTACACTCATTCTGTTCATGTTTCACCCTCACAGGAGACTGGCTATTTACTTCTATCCTCTACAGAAGATCACAGCATGAATGACAAAATGTCACAAATAATTAGGAAAACTAGTTTTATGCCCCTAAAGAATGAAATGTCTTCTTTGTCCTCTCAGGCAGGGTGTAGTCTTTTCTACAGGAAAAAAAAAAAGACTGTTGGCATCCATCAAATAAATTCAAGTCTGCATATCATTTCGTAGCTACTTGTACTTATTTCTGCATCTTGCTTCATTTCTTGCGTTTCGTTTTTTTTTTTTTTTTTTTGGCATTACCCTTCTGTGCCCTCTATAGTCATAGTCCATTCTAAGAACAGCTGCAGAGAAAACCCTATTCCCTTCCCCACAGAAATAGCCTCTGACTTTTCCTACTCCAGACTATCCAGGAACTTATGATGTAGCAGTACAAAAAAAATACCACTCCCAGCCCCCCTTCCTTTACCATTTCAATGTACTTTATGAAGTAGTTGTTGAGAACTACAAAGCACTGGCATTTGACATACCTACCTAGGACCATCGGAATAAATCCAACTGGCAGACAAAGGATTAAGTAGAATTCATGATATTCACAATAGCTGCTTCTTGATATATCGAGGAAAAAGAGTATGGCCGTGAGCTGTTTTCCTAATTGCCACTGTCTTGTAGATTAGCAGCTCAAACTAAGTATCTGAGAAGCTAAACAAATGCAGTTGCACAGTAAAAATATCAGGTGTGTCAAAGCTGCAGCCTGTGCACCAAGATGTGTTGTGGAGCCAGCGCTTTGCTGCACGCCACCCTTTCAAGCACTGACATGTTTTGACAACATTGCTACCAATTCTGATTTTTAAATCTGAGGAGAGACTGGATGCCCACACCTCAGCCATCTGTCAATGCAGCATATGAATATGTTTCACGGAGCGTACGTAACAGTTGTACCTTACACCACTGGGAATCCTGTAATTTGAGGCATGTATTGGAGATAATAACAACTGTATAAACTGCACTGACAACAGCGTTAGTCTCTATGGTGACATGATGAAAACTGAATAAACTAATTCTGTCAGTATACAGTATAAGAGTTAAACTATGAACTTTTTGTAGATGCTTTCTCCTGTGTATTTTTACCCTCAGAAACCCATTTCTCTAAGTTTGTGGGAGAAAAAAATAGCAGCCATTTTCTGAAGGAAGCTTTCTTTTTGATAAACTGAAGTCCCTTTTGGGCACCAAGAGAAAGATTACTGGAAGACTCCTGTTGCTATCTCTATAGGATACTTCTATTTCTTTTCAATACCAAAGATAAACTGTAAAAACTAACAGAATAAGAGAATTCATCGACTTAACATTTTTTTTTCCAAGGTAATCTCTCTGAAATCTGTAAAAACTCAAATGCCAATTAGCAACAGTATGGAAAATGATTAAATGAATTCACAGAGACATATTTCACTGTCTGGGAAATCCTCCATAATTCCTACACACAGTTTTCAGTCCTTGTTTCAGTTTATGGAGCTTGACTCCTCATATTACATTTTATACATTTGTATGCTTTCAGTGTCATCTGTGATTTTGCTAAAAATCATTTTTGGATAAATATCATTACCACAATGCAGAAGAAAGCATTAGTAATTTACAGACAGAAACCTTCAAAACCAAAGAAGAACTTCTCCTTGTTCGACTAGCCCAGCTGAAACTAATGCGATTAACTGAGTGAAAAGGTGTGTAGATACAGGAGGTCCTTTGGTGCCCAATGCACATATACAGAAAACTCTCCCTGACTCTGAGATACGTTTCAGAATCATACATGTAATCTGCTACACTTTTGTACAGCTAAATCTTCAGATCATCTAGTCCATTCCTCTGCCTCAAAGCAGAATCAGCTGTCCAGATAACTGCTCTTCATCTACACCTAAAAAGGGAAGGCTCCCAATGACACATCAGCTAACCAAGCAACGTATTCCAGCGCTTCCTCCTGCTGCCTATACTTTTTCCTTTACCTGACTTGACATTTTCCTAAAATTGAAATTCATTTCCTGTGCGTCTGTAACATAGCCACTGTGTATTTCCACGGTCTGTTACATATGCTGTCGGAGGAACTGTGGATAGGACAATTCTGCACAGATAACTTTTGCAGCTGACAGTGTGTCACGGTATAAAACAGCACGCTCTCTTTGCCAAGTTTTCCTCTTTCAATAGATTCTTCCACTTCAGAAAAGAAACAAAAACTTGGAGCTCCTTCTAGCTTCTGTTATAATTACAAACAATAATAATAATTCCATATGCATTTGCCATTAGGAGGAAAAAAAAAAAAAAAAGGAAAATTAAACAGTTTCAGATCAGACTACAAAACCTAGTTTATAATTTCACACAAAAACATTACCAGCTCTTCCTTTGGATTCCTGAATTTACAATTCCTCTCTGCTGTTCTAATTTACATTATTCGGGCTGCACAACTGCATTTTAAAGTTCAGTCCTTTTGTTAGCACTCTGAAGTCTTACATTTACTCAGTTCCAGATTTGTTCTCAAAGGAAAATCGCTATTTATTTTTGTAAATGTATTCAGTAAATGTAAATCCATGCAAGAAACAGAATAGCTGGGCATAATGTTGTATAAGTTCAGCATAGCTATTTCCTCTGCTGTCTAAATTCAAGCCTCTTCTTCTTCCTTGTGGAATTCACAATTATCATATTTATAGATAAATAAGGATAGAATCTACAGAAATAATTTTAACGTTTTTGATAGCTCACAGTAACCAGCAGTAAATTCAATACACTGCGTACCATAGTTTTATTGCAATAAGTTCTTCTTGCTGCCTAGGAACCACAATCAAGTACTACAGCTCCTTTTTAAAAAAATCATCTTATTAATATTTAAAATATTCAGATACAGAGAAAGTATAGTCCTCTGAATTTCTGACTTTCATCACAAGAGCTCTGAATCTGCCCCCAGTTCTCAGAGACCTGCTCTGGGAGGTGAGACTAGTCACTTGATGCTCCCTGCTGCACTACTCCAGGGTATACCAATTCCCTTCTTCTCCCATTTGTCTGTCCTGTCTACTTAAACAGTAAAGAAAAGAAGCCTCTCCTTTGGTGGCCTAAGTGTTTCAGATTCATAGGTTCAGAGGCCAGGAAAGATTGCTGTGACAATCTAGTTTGGCTATCGTATAAAACACAGCCTGAAATGCATTCTTTTTTTTTTTTTTTTAAATGTTTTAAAACTGCAACAGAGCTTCCTTTACATCAATGTAGCTCGAGAAAGGTTGATTCTTCAGTGACAAAATGGTTGGTTATTCTCCACGTTAAAAATCTGTCCCTAATACAAGTATGAATTTGTTTGGCTCTGATGTCCAGCCTCTGGGTCTTGTTATGCATTTGTCTGCCTGACAAAACACAGCTACTTCAGTACGAATGCAAATACTAAATTACAATACATGTTACCTGAGCAGCATTCCTCCCTAACTGCACCCCTGGGACAGCTCTAACGCTACCTTACTGGAGCTGGCTGACACTTCAAGCTTTTGGCAACAAGTGTGCTATCAAACATCTGCTGAGGCACCCCTCGTAGTGCCCTCTCTCCCGCACCATATGGTCATCTCCACCGACTGGTACGGCAAGGCCGCGACCCAGCTCTCAGCACTTTCTTTCTGTCTTCTCTGGGGACGCCGGGCATCGAGCGATAATTTCGCACAAACTTCACACTCCATCAGCAGGAAAAACAGCCCTCTGCAAGAGAAAGGAGGCACGCAGGGTTTGCCCGTGTTACGACACACACCACCCATGTCCATGCCAGCAAACTCTCCTAGCAGAGGTCTACCATACCCTAAAAGTTTCCTCTGACATTGCTGTTTCTCCTCCAGACTGCCAACTCACATGCACCCTGCACAACTGGGGCTTTGTCAACACAACCGTGGTACCTGGGGGTATGAGATTAAAAACAAAACAATCACCAAAAACTAGTCACAGATGACAAAGCAAAACAATAACTGGCAGGTCTACTCTCCTACGGACTTGAAGTGCTTTGTCGGTACAAAAATTTAATTCATGACCTTACAGCAAAATGGCAAACTAGGACGAAAAATTCTTCCTCAGGCTCAAGTACCAAGACTGCCTACTATGAATCACATGAATACAGTAGCAGCAGTAATACCCATCAGTACATAAAAGCAGCATTAACGTTCTTATGTAACGGAGATGCAGGGAGCTAGGAAGTTGAGTTTCCAAGGGAAAACCCTACAGACAAGTCAGTTCAAGGAAGAACATCTGGTATCTCTGATTTTATTTCCCACAAAGGTACAAAATGACCATTTAAATTCTCTGTTCACAGTTACTGAAGCCATTAGAGAAACTCATTTACATCAGGATGAAGCCCAAACCAATGGCTCAAAGCCTGTGAATACCGTGCTAAACACCATGCCCAGAGCGGATTCCGGGCAAAGAAAGAAGAGCTAATAGAAAGGCACTCTCAAAAACAGCAGGAATATGCCAGCACCCTAAAAAGACAGTAATGCAGATAAAGCCCCTCATTCTATTTTGAGCCCAGTGCACGTCATTACATCAGTCTGAAGCAAACTCCTGTGGTAGTGACCTAAGACCACTGCTGTCAAAAGTCTTGGAAAGACAAACACTAAGCTGCCCTTAACAAAAGTTTCCTCAATATCACCCTTAGTATATATTTTAAAAATAAGAGATGTAAAAAGTAAAACAGTTAAAAAAAAAAAAAAAAAAAAAAAGAAAAACCAAGCTCTCCTTTAGAGAACTTGAAAGGTAAATTCTCCTTATCACCACTTCCTCGTACAAATGGCAATAGGCACTTTCATAACATAGTTTAATTATTTCCAGGGTACCCAGATCAAGTCATTATGAAACGAGGCAGCCCTAAGCTGCCCTAGAGCTCTTCTAGTTGCTTCCACAGCAGCTAAGCCACAATGCCACATCCTCTTGTGGTCCAAGTGCCCAAGCAGCAAATCTTGAGGTACTTGACTCTCAGGCTGCCATCCTTAACATCTGTTCTTTTCTGATTTCACAGTATGGCAAAGCACTGCTTAAATGGTTACTAAGTATAATGGTATATTTTCAGGTAAAGTGTTCTATATGGGGACACAGACCATACTTGAAAGGCTGTGCATTACCCTGAATAGCTCACAGGGCACTCATTTCAAAAGTGGAAGTATCGCCTGTGTTAAAAAGGTCTACATTAAAGACTTTCAGTTACATGATTAAAGCAGAAATAGATCTCGATATCTGTAGAAATTACTGATACACGGGTCAAACTCTGCTGTGCAGACCTTGGCCCAGCCATCAGGACTTCCCCCATACGTAATGCTCTCATCAAGAGCGTGAGGTCTCAAAATGGAGTACCCGGAGATTGACTGCATTCACACAGCTGCTCCACGACACAAATCAACCTCCAGAAAGTTTCAAGTGATTTAAGTTACACCATCTGCTGAACAACTGCCTATGTGTGGTTTCAACCCAGCATCCTTTTAACTCCTCCTGAACAACTGGAGCTTCAGCCTATGCCTAGATCCATCCTGTACTTCAATGCTTTGCTTACCACAGCTAAAGCAGCTGCAAGCGTAATAGCAAATAAATCCCCCCTCATGAGATTTCTTTGACAAAGCATTGCCTGTCTGCTCCAGAAGCAGAGAAATATTATTTTATTCTTTTTACATATGCTTATATAACATACATAACTGGGAGTTACGTTTGTGGGAAGAAAAGACAGGCTGCCTCCCGACAGCTTTTGCTGTGCCTCCACCAAGCAGGTGCACGGGCACACTTCTTGGTTCTGTCACAGAGGTCAAAGCTCCTCTAGGTGAGATAAACTCTTGAAGCATTAATACTTTGCTGCACCCATGTATTTTCCTATTATAGCACAATTAATTTCCTCGTCATAGAGAGCTTTTGCCACCAAAGCCACTGAGCATTTCTGTCAAAAACTGTACTTTATAAATATTTCTGAATTACTCTTATTGGTGCTATTGCTCAGGGAAACATTGATCAGATAATTTTGGGGGGAAGAATACAACGAAAAAGAAGGGGTTACAGTTAAAGAGAAAAAAGAAAGATAAAAAAGGACCCACATCAGCAGTCACCAACTACAAAATAAATTAATTGTGAAAGGACAGGTTCTGCTCCTACTAAATTCACTGGCTAGCTTCCCATTTATTTCAATTGGTCTGATAAACGCACGCATCCCTCTAGCTTCTATCCTGCCAGAGAGGAGGGCTGGCAGACAATCCATCAACACAAGCTACAAAGAATCAGGACTACTGCTGAGAAAATTCGGCTGCCATTCAAAATATGATTCAAACCTCGGAAATGACAGGAGGATCCTTCTTGTGGTTTCAATGGCAACTGATGTAGAATAAAAGCTGTAACTTAAAAACAATCCAAAAGCTACTATGTGCACTCTGTGTAAGATTTAACTAAATCATTGTTCCTCCTGTAGCAACTTTAAATTTTTAATTCTCTTTGTAATGATGCAAAGGCATCATTACACAAGCATGTTTAAAGACAGAGTTGGGCAGCAAGAGAATCCTGTTTCCATAAATTACTTACATGCAGTCCAGCACCACTATAATTTACAGAACACTTTAAACCAGAGTCTTAAGAACTGTTTATCCTTAGGTGTGATCAAGCGTAGTCACTCTGGAGGAAGGACAGCTGATGGACAGTTCTTTTCAATCTTCAAATTATTTGGCAACAGATCAGATCGGTTAATGTCCTAGACACAGTACAATATCACCTCTCTTTGTAGATATCAGAGGTGGGGAATATTGCACAACGTGCCAACATGCAAGTGTGTCCATGAGAGGTCTCTCTTGTTGATTTACAATATTTTGTTCTAGATAAGATACACCACTTGTGTTTTGTTTTCCTCTCCTCTGCTTTTATCCATGCTATTCATCTACAGCACTCTGAGCTCAGCATAAGTGGTTTTTCTTATGTTACACAAGAAAAAAAATTGTTGGATTTCTAGCTAGTCATTTTCCAGAACTAAGACACTAGTTAACAGCACTGTTCTTAAGGGGCCTAACATTAAATCCAAATCTAAAAATCACTAGACATTAAAGCTGCTGAAAACCAGCTTATGCAAAAAAGCTGCTAGCCATTTACTGTTTTTCAGGTGGTTTGTTTGCTTGTTTTTTTAAGACATTGATTTTAGGTTTTCTTCTAGCTGCAGCTGTTTTCCACATAGATTTGATTAATGCCTTCAGATATTCAGATCTAAAGCAGATCCACAAGTATGTCTGGAATTTTTTTATTTTGGATCTTGAAACATCTGAAACCTACATGTATTATGTTTTCTCCTGTGTAAATAAACTTCCTCATTTACTTGCTTCATATTCAGCTTCTCTATAAATCAGACTTGGATGAGCTCTGCAAACAGGAAAAAAAAAAAAAAAAAAAAAGCCTTCTGTCTCCACTTCCAGAAAGTAAAACTAACTTAAATACACATACACAGTTTTGAGATGTAATGCAATACTAACACCGCTGTGAAAATGATAAAGTATCTTAAGAGCTGAAAAGAGACATGCAAGTAAAATTCAGTAAAGAATAAAACAAAAATTGAGTCCTCTGTTTCCTTCCTCTTCTGATCTCTTCATAATATTTTGCTCTTTGAACATCTTTACATGGTTTCCAGCAGTCCTGCACATGTTTAATTGGATACAAACAACATGAAGATCTTTGAAGTCTAGAATATTTCCCACCTCCTTACTCGATTTGTTAAATCACAGGGAAAAAAATAATAAAAGAAATATATACTACAGGGTGTTATAAAATGTCAGCTAACCTATTTCTTACCTTTAAGCCTCAATCTGCTATACCCGTACAACTCCTCACAGAACTCAATATAAGCTGATTTTGAAGTCCTCAGCTGACAGAAAATACCAAATAAATTACTTTTGGAAGGTCCTAGGTGCTTTACTACCTGAACGAGCTGTAATGAGCACAAGTTTTTGTTTAGGAAGCTCCAGTGACACCATTACTGCTCTTACACTTAAAAAAACAAAACAAAAAAAAAACAAACCATTATTTCATCCCCTCCATCATTACATTCCCATCCAACAGAAAGTCAGCTGCTCTCTGTTAGTGACTGCAAGATATGGAATTATTGGTGCACTTATACCACACAGGATAAGAATTCTGCCTGCAAACTGCAACTGGCTTGGATGCCAAATTATTTCAAAAGAGCTGTGTGCAGGCACACACACGTGTATACTAAAGTGAGTAAATGTACATTCATCTTCCTCCTAGCTCAAATGGTTAAAGATGTTTTTTTTTTTGGAATAGGGCAGCAAACCATCTTCATACAAAGCATCAAAAAAAAAACAAAAAACAACCACAAAACCATAACTAAAAAGGTAAAGAACTCCTCCAAAATCAAGCACTAGGTGAAAGCAACGATCCAATAGAAAGTGGTGAGGCTAACAGCGATGTTGTCTGCTAAGTGGCTTCTGCACCACTCCACTTTTAAGTGCACCTGTCAATAATCTATACCATAATTAGCCTACAGAACAACTGCTGATCCAGCACAGCGGATTAAGAAACAGCAGGGGCTGAGGCTAAGTGCTTAAAGCTGCCTCAAGAACAAGCTGAGGCATCCCCACTAACTCTCCTAAATGCAGGGTGTTAATCCTCACAGGCAGTGAGGAACAGGAGCGGGTTAGCACCACGCACATTTAACAAAGAGTCTTAAAATGGCTTCAACTAAAAAGCTAGAACGATGCAATAGCCATCTGGAAGTGCTCGCTAATTTGAGGAATTCCTGAAATAGACTTAAAGGACTAACAACCCTGATAACATACTCCAACTTTTGTGTACTCGGACACAGCTTTTGGATGATCTGATTCACCTAAAAACTTCACTGGTCTGACCCAACGGCAGCAGCACAAAACCCACAGAATTAAGACGCTAACCTGGGGTTCCATCATGTTCAATATACCTTTCATGTTCGATAGCCAAAAAAAGAGGCTGACTTCCCAGCCCCATACCTGTCATTGATCTCCTTCCACAGAATTTTGTATATTAAACTGCAAGACAGCACGTTATAGAGGCCAGGCACAACTTCAGTGAAGGAACATTTTGATGGTTACTGATGCTTATACTGGGCTGGAGGTCATTCAGTGCATGGCAAATACATCCCTGCTTTACAAAAAACTTTCAGCCCTCAGTGTGAAAGGAAAGGGAACTTCAAAGGAGGAGTTCAAACCCCAGGCATTTAGAAAGGAATACGGTGTTATAATCCTTTTCAGAGGTAACTTGCCTACAGTCAAAAACACTTCCAAAAGAAGACATATAGTAAAGCAAAACACAATTAAGCTTGAGGAATGATGGAAGAGCATTCAGAGTGTATTGTTGCTTCCTCTTGTTCTTCTTCTGTTAAATTCAATGAAGAATTTTATAGTCCCTTTGCACAAAGAGACAACTATCTATTTCCACATAATTCTGAAACAGCCTTTGTCCTACTGGCTGTGGCTCTGTCTCTCACGACACGTAGATGACCTTGCTTCAGTGAGAGGTAGCTACGGTTTGAGAACATTGGGAGGAGAAAAGCGAGGACAACTCAATTACAAAATAAAGTTGAATACAGGCAGATCACCCAGTGATTCTCTCTGAAAATCAGGAGCAAGCCTAGAGCAGCATAACTGGATTTGATTACGGATGGCACTGGCACACTGACAAACAATTTAGTTTCACGTAATAGCTAACCAGAACATTCTATCCATGAGAAGAAACCTACAACACTCAATAATTTCTTGATGCATTCCTGTACTTTGGGAAAGGATGTACAAAAATCACATTTCCATAACCACAGGCAGAAGAAAAAGACAAAAGACATTTTCACTGCTGACTACCACATGGCATTTACAGTCTGCAGCTGACCTCACACCTTCTCTCAGGACCAGCGTGTCAAAAGTTGCCTTCTCCACCTCTTTTTAGTAGCTGTGCTGTTATTGCAATACTGTGTAGCTGAGCACATAATTACTCAATACTAATCATCAGTGGGCCTCCCAGGCAGAAATTGCAGCAGCATAGATACATACTTTGTATTCCCACCACCTCCATTGAGGCTTTTCTCTAAATATTTCTCTCTTCATCTACCTCCATTGATGAATTCATTCATACCTCCTCCTGGTATTCCGGTAAGCCCTGCTTTCTAGCCATTTAATATTCCAAGTGATCCCCAAAACCGCCATATCCCATGCAGTTACATGTATATCTCATTGGTCCTTGAAACGAGGACCAAAAGAACAAATTTCAAGGTTAAATGCAAACTTTCTGATCAGTCCACATGTATGTAAGAAGCTGTCTTGAAGAAATCATAAAGCCTCCTAAAGCTTGAGAAAGGTGAGGAAATGCCTCTTGTTAGAGGTGTACTACCTATTTCTGATTTCAGACCAAATCTTAACCACTAGCTCTTGATGCAGTATAGCTCATGAGTGCATTTGGTCACAGGACTTGGGGCAGGGAGGAGTGGGGAGAGGGAACCAGCCACCCCCCTTAGCACATGCTCCCTTGTCAGCCCAGCAAGCATGTGCTCCAGTGAGCCCTCTGCAATGCACAAAACACCAGATGGACCAGAAGGACCAGATGCACATCTTCTTGGCAGTTCCTCCTCCTCAACAAAAGACCCTATTGTTGGGAGCTGTTGGATTATAACCAGAGAAAGGTACCTTTCTGCACCACTCCACTTAATAAAACCAACAGTGAGCTACATTTTCAAGTCTGTGCAAGGCTAACAAGATGATAAATCACATCCAGAAATGAGTGAGAAACCAGGTCACAACATAGTATGTAATATAAAATGCTCCCTGTGAGAAAACCTAGCTTAGAAATCTGGCATTGTGCACTCCTGAAAAATTTCAAGTTGTATTCACAGGCAGCCTTCTTGTAGAGCTTACTGATACGGTTTACTGAAGGACATGTTAGTGTTATGTCAGAGGTTTGACTAGGTCATCTTGGAGGTCTCTTCTAACCTAGGTGATTCTGTGATTCTTAGAGGATGCTGTGGCACTTCTACTGTTAAGCAGTCACAAGCATAGTATACTCAGCTCCTAAAGTTCATGGTATCAAAAGAAGAAATACTTGTTTCCTTGCAGAGGTGCCTGCAGCATAGCCTGGGACAAGCAGCAGGGAGTAACTGTGCAAGACAAGCGCATCAACAGCAGGAGGAAACTGTCTTTCAAAGAATGCTACAGAAGAAACAAAGCTACTCCTGCAAGGATTCACAGGCTGTAGCATGACATCATCTCTCATGAGTTTTCTAGAACAGCTTCATCACAGCTTCACCCTACGTGGCTTCCATCTGACCCTTTCACAATGGGCACAGAACTTCGGAGTGGACTTCTTTGAGCCTCTTCACAATCTCCTTTCATGAAGAAAGAAATGCATATTTGTTTCAGCATACAATACTCAAATTCAGAGCTCAATCCCACTTTTAAATTACACCTTGTTATCCATTCTAAACTATGTAAAGCAAATCAACACAGTTCTGAAGTGCACCGAGCAGCTTTCTGGCTGTAGTGCAGGGATTTTCAACTGTGCTCCAGCTGTTTGACTGAATAATGTTCAAAGTCTCTGAGCATATTAGTTTACCACAGCAGTTCCAAATTTCTACTGCTTAGACCTCAATCAGGTACCATATAGCGCAACATACTGCCTATCATCTAAATAAGAGCTACACTGGTTAAAGTTACTAAATACCACATGGCCCTGAAATTCAAGTTCTAATTCAAATTATCAATCCTAATATTAGATTCCTAACCTGTGTTTTATTCTGGTATAATTATGAGCATTGTCATTTCTGGACACCCTCAAATACATAGGTAAAATAACTGAGATCCTCCAAACACTGAATGCAAATATTTCACACTCTCCCCACCATAGTATGCCACTGTATTTGGACAGGGTTTTAGAAAGTGACCAGAAACATCACATTGCTATACTTTTATGTTACTGAAGACAACAGGACAAGGTCCTAGTACTTGAATGTCCTTGCAAGAGTTCTATTCCCTCACAGCTAGCCTCTAAGAAGTGTCACACTCTACACAGATTAGCTTTCTATTATTTGGACACCTAAATACACATCCCACTGAGGCAAGGAGATGGAACTGCCAGTACCTTTTCAAGAAGGCTTATGGAGCCCCATTTTACCTATCCATTTCTGAAAACTTTATTTCTGAGCTCCCTAAGTGGGATGCAAGTATTTCATACCTGTTGAATTGCCAAATAAGTCTGCTCAGCCTCACATACTTTGAGCAGGCTAAACCAATCTAAAACCCTAGCAATACATGCTTGTAATGATGATGAGGCTCCAGATACTGTGGATTTCACAGGCACACTACCCTGTGTAACTGAGTAGATCTGCATGCTTGCAGCAGCCATTTCTTCAGAGGCAGCATGCTTCTTGCGGCCCAGCTGAAGGCTATGCTCTGGCAAGGCTGCGGGCCATCTGAAAACAGAGAACATCCCAAGTCTTCAGCTCTAACCACACATAAAAAAGAAAAGGTAGGAGGGAATTAAAACAAACAAACAAACAAACAAAAAAAAAAACAAAAAAAAAAAAAAAACACTCCAGGAAACTGGGATGTGCACTAGCCCTAAAATCATACAAACACCTAACAAAAGCAAGAATCTTGGAATATAAATAAATGCTTGTTCTTTATCCACAAGGATAAATTCTTAAGGTATTTTTTTTGTTGTTGTTGTTTCAACCTTACTATCTGTTTTTATTAAGTAGTTAATCCTCATTTCACACAAGGCGACATCACACTGCACTGAATCAAAGGTAACCCACTGAAATCACTGCTCCATGCCTGTTCCCTTTCTACCCCAAGCAATCACGCATCTCAAAAACATGCAGGCATGGTGAGTTAAATCCATGTTTCCAGCAGGAATATTCTGAGTACAGCTTTACCTGTTACTAATTCACCTGCTCCTAACTTTGAACGTGTCCTTGAAGAAGCCTTTAAACATTAGAGCAAAGCACAATTAAAAAGATGGAAAGTGTTTCAACATGCACTCTGCTAAGCTGCTGGCTGTAAAAACGCACTGAATGACCAAAAGCATACATTCTGTTAAAGCCTTCCTTTCCTTCAGAGCTTAGTAGCACATAACCCGTACCCCCGCATGGCAGCTTCAGTCGCTACACCAGCACAGAGCAGAGAGCACCATCAGCTCAGAACCCAGCTGCTGTGCAGCAATACCCTTCAGCAGCTTTAAAATCACCTCATAGCACGGCACCAATGCAGATACCCTGATTACAAGGGCGTGACTGGGTAGCAAAAGCAGCCCCGCTGAGCTCGCAGAGCGACAAATTTGCTTTGAGCCCAGCTGGGGCCGGCGGGGGGGAGGCAGCGGCGCCGCGGCCATGGGGCGGGAGGCGGCGGCATGGCGGGGGCTCGGCGCCCCGCTCCGGCGGTGGGGTGCCGGCCGGGCTCGGTATCGGTACCGTACCGGCGGGCAGGAGGCAATCCAGCGGCGTGAACACACGCTCCATGGCCCCACTCCGAGGCTCGGGGAGCGGCTTCCCCCGCGGACACGGCCGGGGCGGGGAGGCCCTCAGCCGCCATCTGCCGCCCGGCGGTTGGTTCGGCGCCGGGAAGGCGGGGAGGGGCGGGCAGCGGCCGCCATTGGGGCCTCTGGGTGCTGTGGGGTTTGTGGGGTTTGTGGGGTCTGTGGGCGGCCGGGGGTTGCTCGGCGAGGCTCCCTTGCTGCCCCCCGAGACGCTTCCAGCAGCTGGAAAAGCCCGTCCTGACCGCCTCCAGGAGAGAGAAAGAGCGGCCCCGACACGAGGGGCTGTGCGGCGTTGGGCTTTTTGCCCCCCCCCCCCCTTTTTTTTTTTGTAAATGCAGCTGCAGAGACTTCCTTTTTATTAAGCTTTATCTAGTACAGAGAGGGGTTGCACAGGGCAGAGAGTGATGGGCGCCGTCATTTGAAAGAAAACATTTGCAGTCGCTGCTAAAAGTGTTCTGGTTTCAGATCCCGTAATGAATAGTTCAGTCAAAAGAACAGTCCTTAATACGTTTCAGCCCGGTAGAGTAAACTGTGGAAACTGAAAAAAAATAAAAAAATAAAATTGCAGCTCTGAACCTCAGCTGCAGCAAGAGCTCAGCATTGTGTGTGCAGCCCATATGCTGCTGCCAGCCGGCTTCTGCATCAGGAATCCAGGAGAGCATCGCTTTGGAGGCTTGCAGGCTGGCTGCAATAATAATAATATGGCTTTATTGCTGTTGTTTCAGGTACTAGCTTCGCCCTCTTCTCCCTGCACAAAGCCTGAACAGTGAAAATAGCACAGAGTGTATTTGTTTTCTGTATTTATCTTTTGTTCCTAGTTCCCAAGCCCTTAGCAGAATAGTGTGACATTTACAGTCACAGCTTAAGTGTGAATTTAAATTATTTTGTTGTAATATAGTCACAAAACTTGTTATAGAGATAATTTCTAGCTGCTTACAGACTTTTAACTAGAAAATATATCATCTTCAGGCCTAAGCTACATAACGCTCATTAAATTTAAGCTTGTGCAAGGAGCGTGAAGGTCCCAATTTGAGGCCCCCAGAATGTGACTAATGTGTTTCCACCTTCCAGAATAGTGTTCGATTTTCCTGGTATCCCTGCCTTGATTTCCACCAGGGACTGTTATCTTTAACAAACACCATTTCTCATGGTACAGGGCATCGAGATCATCTTCCACCCCCTCTTTGCTGTCTCCGAGCTCCTCCCCAGGTTCCTGGGCTGGCAGCCCCGGCTTTCATCTCAAACTGCAGCTGCTTCACCATTTCAGGGGAATTATGCTGGGCCCTGCAGCAGAGGGCAGCAAAGGAGCATAGCCCATGGCTCCCGGCTGGCACCGATGGTTTCCTGTCCTGCAGTTCACCGCTTTGTTTTCGCCTCCCCATGAAACAGCATTCGAGTAACCGAGAGGTTCTGCTGTGGCCATTCTCCTGAGTCCCTCACAGGAGCCACCAGGTCGCTTTCTCCATCGTGCCCTCCATTTGAGGCTCTTGGTGGGTAGGATAAGACAGGAAGATGAAGGCTGGTTTGAGAGATGTCTGGAAAAAGGCAGCACACAGTTGAGGTTTCCAGTCTAACGGGAGGAGTGTGTGACCAGCATGTCATCCCCCTACACAGTCCACACTGTTAGTCTGAGATTCGCAGCCAAATCAACAGAATTGCAGTGACTTCAGTGTTTGGGTAGTGCTGGGCCACAGTTATGCTACGTGATAGGTGCATCTTTGATCTGAACAGTGCAAGCACTAAGCCTTTGCTTTGGCTCTTTCAAATAAGCTGGCCTCCACCTATGAGAGATTACAAGCAATTTTAGACCACAAATATCGTAAACAATTCAGAAGTTTTGGAAACATTCATGTCTTGGCAATGAAAGAAATGAGAAGTTACTGGGAAACACAAGGAAAAGATAAAAGGATATCAACGTTATCACTGCTTACACTACAGAATTTGAAAATATTTTACTTTTGTCTCATGAAAATTTTCTTCCCCCCACACTGAGAACTTGTATTTCAGAGGATATTAAACAGAACTTTGACATCATCTCAGCGTCTTTCTTTAAATAGGTTAAGAACAATCAGCATAAGGAAGAAGAAGCTTGCTCTCTCTCTTTCCCTGTAAGCTAGCCACGTGAGGACCACCATGCAGATAGCCCATGCTCTCACCCTCTTAATTAACTGTCTCATTTTCTGCTCATTTTTTCATCCTTAAATTTTGCCAAGTGTTTTCCCACCACTAGATAAAATTATGAAACCTTCTCCAATATAACTTATTTTTCTATTTTCTGTCTTTCTGTATTTTTTTTTTTAATTTGTTCTGTTTTGTTATTTGTTTCTGATATAAGTAGTTTCTGAGAAGTGGCTGTGGCTTCTTATGCGTGAGGACAGCTGTACTTGCTTAGAGTGAAGGTCCATCCTAGTCAGGGCTCCATTTCTGGTAGCGTTCAGTTGCAAGACTTCTTTCTCATGTTCTCCTTTGTGCTCTTTCAACATTTTTTTAAATGGAAATTTTAGCAATTTCCATCTCTCTGCTCTCTTCATATCTGATGAGATTCTTTTTCTGCTCTATCAGGCCTAGGTGTTCCAGGCAATCCTTTGCCCGCCACTGCAAAAAAAAAGTAATCGCACCTCTCTCTGCTAATCACAGTAATGCATGATTCATAACAACAATAGCATTACAAGGAGAAATCAGTCTTGAGAGAGCAGGCTGGAAGTGGGATCCTTGAAATCCTTTCAAAATGTTCAACAGTCTGTAAGGCAAGGCGAAATGCCTGCCTGCTGTGCAAGTAGGCAAGGGGCAAACATGTCAGATGCTCGTCCCTCTTCTTGATAACTCTGGCTTTCTTTCAGTGCCCTTTCTTTAAGGTATGAATCTCTCATCCACAGTACAAAGCTCTTTTTAAGAGTCAACTGTACAGAAATAGCTTCTGTCGGTGCTGAATTGCACAGATATCTAAGGCAGAACCTGACCACTATTTAATACTTTTCAGCAGAGCCTAACAATCATATAAAGTGTAGGAAGTTTCAAATAAGCAAAATGAATAGCTCCACCCATCCTGGCATTTTCTTTTGCAGAAAATCCCTCAAGAACAGCAAACTATCAGGAGGCTGATTTACATTGTTGAAAAATACACTTTCATCTGCCTTTTGCACTTTTACTCTGTAATGGGGTATCAGTTTAATTTTCCTGAGAGGGGCTACTGTTTAATGAACTAGCATCCGTTTTTCCTGTTGTGCATGGGAAATTCCCTGGTAAAAATAAAAAAATAAAAAAAATTACACCAGTTTTTCCAGGTAGCATATAAGATTCAGCAATATTTCTTTTCTCTTTTCTATCTGTATCTCAAAATAGATAAAAAATAAAAATCCTACTCCCCTGTTCTATTCCCTTCTTTGTATCTTTGTGTATGCCTACTTTACTTTGCAATGTTTGCAGAAGAATATACGGATAGACTATGCAAGAACGACAACCCAGAAGTACTGATCTTGTGCTTTTGATTACTGCTGTCTCCTCTGATTACTTTAAGGGATGGCAAGTGACCTCAACCCTAAGTGCAAAAATAAACAGGCAAGCAGATGAAGTTCCTGAGTGATAGATGAGGCTGTTTGACAGAGGAAGTTTCTGAATGATTGGCAGGAAAGGTTGAGGAAGTTTTCAGACCCTTTAAACCTCCTTTAGTAACTAGCCAGCCAGTCAGGGCTCTCACCTGATATATTTTCTCGTATTTTTGTACTGACTGAATGATTGCTCCCTATATTGAGAAACTGCAGTTTATATATGTATTTTTATATGTTTTATTTATATATATATGGTATTGTTTTTATATATACACAAAATGTGTAAATATATATGTATACATTATTCTTATCAGGCTCTGGATAGCTTCATCTTCTTTAATAAAATTATTCAGAGAAGCAGTAGGTTGGCCAGCTTTTATAAAGCACGGTTATGACATGTCTAGCACTGCACTTCAGCATGACTAAAACTGCTCAAATGGGAAGAGTTGAAGGGTGTGTAGGAGGGCGGTAGCTTTTATTTACTCAGAACATCTCCTGAGACTTAGCAAGGAAAGTAGAGGGTATTCAACATTAATTGCAGGGGGATTTAAATGGGATATATACAACAGAGCTAAAGCCTACAAGGTTTGCCATGCTTCTTCAGAATGATCATTCTCTTTATATCCCAGTTCTGATATATGGCCCAGGCTAACTTACAGTAGCATTAATTGCTTTCTGAATTTTCTTTCCTCCTTTCAAGGAGCCCAATCTAGTGTTGAGGCTGAAAGCTCTAGAGGTATTAAAGGACTTTGTTCAATAAAATGAGAGAATCTATCTCCAGCATTAATGACATAAAGCCCCTCCCCATACCAAAGTCATATTGGTCTGATAATGCCAGACATCACCATTTAATGCTCTGGTTTTTGTCCCTTAATGCTCTGTTTTTTGTTCCTTCCCTTCAGCCATCCTTTGCTAGTAGGAATCATATCTCTATGCTTAGCATGAAAGTACTTTGGGCACTGTTCAAAAACAATGGCCGATTTCACTAACTGGTAACTGATATCAGCAGCCTTTGCATTTGAAAGTATGTGGAATCAAAACTACCTTCATAAGTTTCTCTTGGTGATGTATGAAAAGAGCTACTTGTAAGTAGGAAGAATTTATGTTGGTGTTCCTCCTGCTATTCCATTTTTATTGCTAACCCGGAATAATTTGTACAAGGTTGGCAATCAGGATTTGTGCAATGTGTAAACATTAGGAATCTTTTCTCCTTCCTTCCACAGCTTAACTTTAGATTAAAATTAACCAAAGGTAAAACTAGCAGGCTGGGACGGTTTATTCTGGTACCCATCCCAGTATTTATGCAGAATAATAAGGCTGAGGGTGTTTAGCTAGCTCAGCTATCTGATTGTCTGAACATCCCTAAGTGCTTTATAATTCAAAAAATGCAGGCATCAGTAGATAAATGGGATGCTTTATTATAGACATTATATTCTTGCAATTCTCCTGTGCCAACAATTTAAGTCCCTACAACCTGCTTAAAACTCAAACACCAGTTTGAATGGTACGATCACTGAGGAGAAAAACAGAAAGAAGAAAAAAAAAAAGATATGCAGAGTTACCAACATATATGGACAGACCAAATCTAACACATACACTCTTTGAGTCTGGCTACTGGAACAATTATTAGGGCCAATGTCACTTTTTTTTTTTTTATTTTTATTTTTATTTTTATTTTTCCCAAGTCCTTAAGAGATCAGAATACAGTAAATATATATGTGTGTATATATAAAGTGCAGTCTGTTTCTGTGAGATGCAGAGCAGGCTGGAGATCAACCTTATGGATTATTTTAGGTCGTACAGTAAAGCAGAGGAAAATCGTGGTATCATAATTACGTGACTCACCAGGCAGAACACTGAGAACAGTAGACCTGAGTTTTAATCCATGTGCTACTACAGACACTTGTAGACAGAATTAAACCACATGGATCCATATCCTGAAATTTATATACTGGCTTAGGAACTAACACAACTTTGATAGATCTTTTTTTTAGCATACTACGCGTTTGTTTCTCATCTGTATAGTGGCATCAGTGAAGTATACCAAATCAACATGAGATCAACAGATAAATAAATACAAGTTAATCTATGTTACTAGTGAACAGATAAAATGGTTTTTGTTTTTCAATCAGTTTTGTAAAAGTTGAGGAGAATATTCATTAAGAACATGAGCAATGTTCTGTCAGATGGAAGGTAAACTTTGGAAAAATAATTGTGTATTGAAGTGATAACTTCTAGAAATAAGGAATTCTCATCACATCAGCTGCTATCAAGTCACTGTGGACAGCAGTAAGCAGGAATTGTGCAATCTGATAGATAAGGGTATATACTTGACTTCTTGGAGTCTGGAGGCTCCGCAGTTTGCTGAGCTGTTAGGCAAGCTACTTGAGCAACCCCACCAGGAGTTTCTGAGAGGCCTTCAATGCCATGTCCTGTCACACTGATGGCTAGCTAGACTCCACTATAGCGCTCTCATTAAAAGAACAGAGAAAAAATGGTGGAAAAAAAAAAAAAAAAAAAAAAAAAAAAAAAAAAAGAAAGCTCATGAGTTAAGATAAAGACAATTTAATTAAAGAAAAAAAAAAAAAGACACTATTTAATAATTATTTCCTATCAGTATGTGATGTTCAGCCACATCTTGGGAAGGAGGGCCTAAATGTGCATAGTGGTTGTTCAGGAGGACAGATGTTTTCATAACAAGAGGCCCCCTCTTGTTCCCATTCCTCTTCCACTTTCCCTTCCCCTTCTTCTTCCCCACCTTTTATTGCTGAGTGTGACACCACATGGCATGGAACATCCCTTGGGGTGGTTTAGGTCAGCTGCCCTGGTGATGTCCCCTGCCCACCTCTTGCCCACCCCCAGCCTGCTGTCCTTTAGGGGTGGTTAGAGGTCCTGATGCTGTGCCAGTACCACTCAGCAAACAGACAGAACATCAATGTGATATCAGGGCTGTGCTAGCTACAAGTGCAGAGCACAGCATGATACTGGCTGCTGTGGGGAAAGTCAGCTC